TGAGTTTGAGCCCCGCGTCGGGCTCTGTGCTGACAGCTCAGAGCCTGGAGCCTGTTTCAGATTCTGTGTCTCCCTCTCTCTCTGACCCTCCCCCGTTCATGCTCTGTCTCTCTCTGTCTCAAAAATAAACATTAAAAAAAAATTAAAAAAAAAATTTTATGTCTCTATGTCAATATATATAAGCACACATATGTATACTTGTTATATCCATATGCATGTGTAATATAAATACATATAATTTATATATATTTATAAACACACATATATGTGGATGTGTAAAAAGATACATGTGCAAGAATTGCGATTGTTTTAACAGCAAAAGACTGGAAATAATCTAACTATCCATCAACATCAGACTGGTTTCAAAAATTATGGTGCATCTAGAGAAAACATATTTGGGCAGACATGAAAGATATTTAAGATATATTAGGTGAAAAATGGGAGCGAGTGCACAACAGTGCACATAGTGTTTCCATTTGTGTGAAACAAATTAGTGCCTATGTGTTTAATGCTGCTCAAGGTCATAGAACTTTTGGTCTCAGTGAATGCCTTTGGAAAGGGAACCTGGATACTGGGAGATCCAAACTGGGAGGGAAATTTACTTTTTATTTATACCGTTGTGTTCTATTTGAACTTTTTAAAAATCATGTGTGTATATTACTCTTTCTATTAAGAAAAAAATAACTAGTTTAAAAAAAGGAAGTTTTTAATTTTTATTTTAAAAAGTTTATGTATTTATTTTGAGAGACAGTGAGAGAGCGCGCACGTGAGCAAGGGAAGGGCCGAGAGAGAGGGAGAGAGAGAATCCCAGGCAGGCTCCAGGACCAGCTCAGAGCCCAACACCGGGCTCAATCCCACGAACCGTGAGATCATGAACTGAGCCGAAATCAAGAGTCAGATGCCCAACTGACTGAGTCACCCCAGGTGCCCCTAAAAAAGGAATTTTTAAAAAAAATTTTATAACCACCTATGGCCTTAAGATTATAGTGGTGATCTTAACAAGGGTTCTCTAATGGAGTCACAAGAGAGGAAATCAGGTCAGTATAGTGAGAAGAGACCAGGAGATCAATAAGTGACAAAAGCACTCATAAAGAAGTTTTGCTGTAAAAGGGAGAAGAGAGATAGAGTGGTAGCTACAGGTGGAAGCGGGGTCAAAAGAAATGGTTGCTTCCTTACTTGAGCACATTTAAATGCTAACAGAAAGGCCCTTGGGGGAGGGAGTGAGGAGGTCATTGAAGGACCACAGAAGCACCCTGAGCAGGTCAGAGAGGATGCTTTGGCAAGCCCAGGCAGGGGCCCTTTCTCCTCCATAATGGGAGAGCAGGGTGGGTGGGAGGCAGAAACAGAGTCCTTTGACAGTTGGAGAGTGGGGAGTTGAGCAAATTCCTGTCTTCTGGCTTCTATCTTCCTTGCGGAACAAGTGGTGAGATTATCTGCTGAATTAGAGAAGTGGACTATGAGATGAACAGGAGATCTCTCTCATGGAGAAATATTTGGTGTGAATTCTTAATTTTGAGAATGGGACAGTGCATTGACCAAGGACCTACAGAAAGCTTGCCCAGATAAGGATGGAATTCATGGATTTAGAGTGTCATCAACCAATCTGTTCTACAGGACTTTTTCCCAAAGGCACCTAGATCCCCTGGCATGGGTATAAAGAAAGCCTAGTGTCGGACTCAGGCTTTGACAAATAAGTACTGACCAACTAGAAAAGGCAAAGAGTCATTATGAAACAGACCCTTCCACCTTGCACCCTCTCCCATCATCTTCAAGATTCGACAGTATTCTCTGTACATATTTTTTCACTTATGCACAATTCATAGATATTTGTAAATTCCTCTGGCTGATCAGCCTGAATAAACTAAAGAGAGGAGGAAAAATAACTTGGAAGGTTAGGAATCAGGATGTAATAGAAGGAAAAGGACTAACGTTATTGAGTATCAATATTTGTGCTAGATATTTACAAACTTGGTCTCATTTATTGTGGAGTGGGCAATGGCTATTTCCTGATTCTTCTTTCTAACAGTATTTCAATAAAGGTCCTACTGTTCCCTTTCTGTGGCCACAAGATTGATGGGGGAAAAACTCACCTCTCTGAGGTCATATACCGTCAATGCTATGGACATGATGGACATGATTATGATGGCAAAAGCATATTCCTTATAGTCTTCACTAAACCACAAACAGACACTGAAGAGTTGAAATATGTAAAATGGATTTAAAACCTGTTGGCAGACACAAAAACAGGAAGGCAATGGGGATATTTAGTCTTCGCACTGAGCTATTCATTGACTTGTTTGCTTTCAAAAGCATCTCTGTGACACCAATCACCCCATACAATATTCTCATTCTTACTGTATTTATTCAGCAATTGTCACGTGCCAGACACTGTGCTTAGCAACTTTACTTGAATTTTCTCATTTAATTTCCATAATTACCTTATTACCCAGAAGCTATTACTTATCTCCATTGCAAAGATGGAGAAGCTGAGCCTCAGATCTCGAGATCTGAGACATGAGATGCTTGAGAAACTTGCCGAAGGTCACACAGCTGCAACAAATCACAGAGTAGGCCTTGAACCCGGGGGGCTGACCCTGGAGCACTTACTTTTAATCACTGCTGTACCTTATCATTCACAAAGTAGTGTCTCGTGGGTCCTCATGATGACCATCACAAGGGTGTAGGGTGTGGATACTATGAGGTTTAGTTCACATGTACTGGCCTTCAGAAGGGTGAAGTTTTAGTTCAGGTTTATGGAGTTAAAATGCTCTCGAGTCTGTTGTTCTTCCGTAGGACACACCATCTGCCATCTTCTAAGCCATCAAAGGACTTTAGATTTATGGATAAGTTGAAGACTACATTTGCTCATAAGTAGAGAGCCAAGCTGAAACTGGGAAACTGTCCTTGAACATCTAGGACACTGTGGAAGAAGGGAGAGGCTAACTCCACAGTTGTTAGCCTGCTTTGGTTTGAGACATTTTGTACCCTTATTCAAATGCTCTCCAGTTGATTTCCATCTGTCTAAGATGGGAACAGTAATCTTTGCCTCTGGTTGGGGAAGGAGCACACAGAAACATTTCCTATCAGTTTCTTTTGCTTCCTTTCTTACTAGAAATATTGAGAAAATACCTTGGGTTTAGTAAGTTTTTTCAAAAACAAGTAGGAGTAGAAGTAAAGTTCAGAAAAAGACCCAGGGTACAGCTGTATGGTTATAGTTTCATAATAATCACTGCAAAATGAAAAATAAGCTCAATGGTAGACTCAAAGAGGAAAAATTCAACTTAATAAATGATGGTCAAGTCCTTTTTTTCCCTCTCACACAAACATTGAGATCTAGAGAACTAATAAGGCTAATGCTGAGGAAATTATGTTGCCCATAAGAAATGTCTTGAGTTTTTAAATTTTTAATTATTATTTTAGTTTCACAAAGTTGGGAAAGGCTAAGAAACATTGGATTAACAAGGAAAGAAAGAAAGAGAAGAGGTTCACCCAGTTATTAAAGGATAAGTAGACACCTGAGTGTCGTTATACTGTGCCAGGCAACATGTGCAAAAGATGGTCTCCAAGAAAAACAGTAGAAAAGAGATATGAAGAATCTATCCTTTGTACTGTTTTAAAATATCACAAATTACAGTTACTTATTAACAAGTAGCATTCTTGATTGTTTGACTAGAACTCCTTTATCCCCTATTTAGCGCCAAGAGTAAGTCCTGCTTACCTCTTTGATGAGTAGTTTCCAAATTGGTGTGATTTCAACATCAATAGTATTAGGCCCACATATTAACCTCCTATAGGGAGAGATCACAGATCAGTCAGTTACAACTAATAAAAATGAAGCTCATTTTCACTCATTCGAAAAAAGGCTATTCACTTTCTCCCAGTCAAGGTAAGCCTCCCTTGTTACATAATATCTCCATCCTTCTCAAAATAACTGAGTGGGGGAGGAGGGTTCCCAAGGACAAAAACAATAAACATGATCATATTGCATCTACTAAATTAGATTCTTCCTGAGGTCTAAATATTTCCCTGATGGCAATTTGGGTATTTAATATTAGTGGTTGCCTAATTCAAGTAAGTTTCCAGATTGGCACTCTCTCAACTCTGTCCCCAACTGTGGCTCTGTGGATGTGGGATGGAGAGATCATTGCAAGAAAATAGTTTTACTAGTAAGAAGTACTGGACCTAGCTTCCTACTCCTGTTTAGTTCTGGGAAGCTGCAGAATTTATTTTAATGTGAGCAAAAAGATGTCGGGATCTCAAAGACAGCTCTATACACAAAGTTATACACCCTTTAACTGAAAACCTAGAGGTATATTTCTTAGATTATGCAGAGCAAGGACCCTTTATGAGCTATTTTGCTGTTGGGAACACTGACCACGCTCTCTGTGCCTCCTATGTAGATATTCAGATCAAGTAGCTTGACCAAATGTATTAGAGCAGTGTCTCCTGAGATTTAGCATTCATACACATGACTTCCTGATCTTGGTAATGTGAAGATTCTGATTCAGAGGGATGATGTGTGGTCTAAGATTCTGCATTTCTAACAAGCTTCTAGGTGATGCGGATGCTGAAAGGCTCTGGGTCCCTTCAAAGTACTGGAAAATGGGGGTGCAGGGGAATACGAGTATCACAGAAACTTAGGACCAGCAAGGTCTTTCCAAAGTCCTCCTCCCCTTTTTAACAACTAGGGAACCAAAGCCCAGAGATGAGAAGTTCCTTGCTCAAAACCACACAGTGAATTACTGATAGACTTATTCAACACTGTGTTCCTCCTCAGCCTGGTTCCTCTGCCCTGGAACTGCTTTGGAATCATGGAGCTGCAGTTCTTGCACAACAGTTTCTGCTGCTCTGCAATTATTATTCAACTATGTGATCTTGGCATAAAATATATTTCCTGATTACAACCAAAACTGGTTCAACCCCATTATTATAACCTTGAGAAGCTCTGTGTAGAGTAGAAAGAGGACTAAACCTGTGAGACTCAGCTCTTCTATCACCTCCCATCCATGTGACCTTTGCTCAGGCCATCGAACCTCTGTGCGCCTCAGATTTCTCATGTATTATGTTGGAATGATGAGGATGTTCATTCTACCTCCCCCACAACGCTGATCTGATGAAGCAAGAGAAGGTATGTGCATGCATTGAATTTAATAATACTGAATAGAGCATTACAAAGTTTTCTGATATTGACCAGCTAAGATAATGATTTGCCAGGCTCTCTATTTGGCTGATGGCAACCATCCTCTTGAGCTGATGTAGAAAACAGTAGGCATGGTACCTAATCTCTTGTTCTTCTCTTGTTAGACCTGATCCAAATTTCAGATGTATCTTGGCAGAACTGAGCCAGTCTTCCAAAGAACTGAAATAATAATAATGAGAAAGACCTATTTAGAAATAATATTTTTGAGATAAGTTTCTCTGTTTCAGATGAAATTACTGAAATGACTTACCCAATTTTCTGGAACTGTCCTTCTAAGTTGTTCCAAACATATCTTATTTTCTGCACTTTTATACATCTCACCTGCAAAAGAAAAGTACTAAGAAAGTCTCTCGTGTAGGGATCAGTAAATACATAGCAGTTTGGTGGCTAAAGAAGTGCCTGCAGAAGAAGCAAAAATAGAGCTCTAATACACTTCTTTAAGATTATCCTTTCCTAACTTACTGCAACTTTCCCTGCTACACAAGTGGCATTCTTAGGAGTTTTCATTCAGTCGAAGTGTATCATGTGTGGGCTTACTATGCAGATGAGTATATATGATAAAACTCTGTCTCTGTGTTCCACTAGGTTATTGATAACCTAACAAAGGAAGAAAATCTGTTACAAAAGTGAAAACTATACCATACAGTCCAATATAGATATATGTCAAAGAAATAAAAATATGATCAAGTAGGATGTATGGTATTGAAATGCCGTAGAAATGTTGAGCGGGCAGATGGCTGAAGGCATCAAGGAAGTGATGGCATCCGAGCTGCAGCCTTGAAGGGCTGAAAGACTTCTGCCCAGATAAGAAGGAAAGAGGGCATGTCGAAGAGATTCTGCACAAGTCAGTTGTGAGGAGGGGCAAATGAGTGGGTCTACTTGACTGCAGACTGGAGAATGAGGCTGGAAAGATAAATAAAGATCAGAGTGTACAGTTTTAAATGCTAGGGTGAAGTATCTAGGACTTTGTCTTGTGGGCAACGGACTTTCAAAGAAAACTATAGAAGAGACTGTGAAACAAAATTAGGCTGGCAGCAGGTTCTAGAAGAGAGTGAGGAGGTTTTTGCAAGAAAATGTTCTCCAGGACGTGAGCGTCCAATGTCAGCAGTGAAAAGGAAAGGTAAGGTTAACGCTTATGGCAATTATGCCTTCTTGTTTCTGATTTCTTTAAGCAACTGTATATGTGAATCTGAATTTCCATTAACTGGAGACCTAACTGAGCACAAAGAGATATAGTGCCATGCTGTTATGGGGCAATAGGTATAACCTCCTTTTGCCCATTGGAATTAACTGGAAGCTTTAAAATACTAATGCCAGGGTCTCACCCTCAAACATTCTGATTTCACTTGTCTGGGGTGCAACCTAGGCATAAATATGTTTAAATTTCCTCAGATAGTTCTAATGTGCAGACAAAGTTGAGAAACAGTGTTTTCCTTTTATAGCTACTCTGAGAATTGTGTTCTTGAGAAATTCAAGTAAATTTCTCTGCACCATAGTTTCCCCATGAATAAACTGAGGCAATTGAGCAGATTATCTCTAATTTCCACTGCACTCTTCTGGGTTTGTTCTATACCGCTGAATAGTACAGTCAGTATAATCGTTAAATTCTAGAACTGAGAAGAGTATACAGCTGAAACCTAAAAAGTGTTCAATACATGTTTTTTGGTAAAGAAGTGAATGAATGCTTTTACAACCACATGAACATCTAGAAATAGAGGTGAAATCCCTAAGATCCAAGACCCGGGGTACACCAAATCAATCTGAATCCTATTCGATAAATATATGTGCATGCACACGAGTGTGCACACACACGCGTGCATGCACACACACACACACACATTCATAGTTACCCAGTGAGAGCATTAAATGCTGTATATTTTATTTTATAGAATCGATTTGTTTCAATGAGATCGGTTGCAAAGTAACTTTAAAAAAATAAATCCTATTTTCCAATGGATTTTCAGTATAAAATTGGAGTGCACTGCCACTGGGAGTGATTCTTCCTTCACAAGCTGCAAGTTGGAGAGAGGAAAGAGTGTCTGAAGGAGATTGGTTGCCATGGTCCACCTTGCAACCTCACATTTCCTGTCTCACACCTGCCTGTCTTGTTCAGTCCCTGCAATTCTGCAGAGCTGGACTGTAATCACAGCTTGTTGGGTACGTGGGCTTTTCACACATCATCTTTAGTCTTTTTCATCAATCTCTGGTAGACAGATATTATTCTCACCATCACTTCATCCCTGAAGTTCACTTTAAGTCTTTTGCCCAAGATCGCACCTATTAAGTAGGGATTGAATTTGAACTCAAACCCAACTGGCTCCAGAGTCCAGTCTCTCAAAGGATATGATATTCAAGCTAGTCTCAGAGGAAGGTATGAAAAATCCCATAGCTGCCAGGATTCAAGTTGAATTAAGTGAGGCTGCCTCCTTTGTTCCTTCTGTGGGTTCACAAATCTGGGTTAGAACATTTTTAAAGGACAAACTGTGGGAGGATATGAGGCCCCTGCTCAATTAGAGAACCTAAATCCAGAGGATGTGAAGGCACAGACTGAGATTGAGAAGCTTATAAAACATAACAAACACAAAACATCAGCAGATGAAGGCAGTAATAATGAGGAATAAAGAGGTTCCTACTAAGTTTTACCTCAGGTCAGAAAATAGAAGATTCCATTATCTCCTGTTAATTTCTTCTGTTTTAAAAAAAATTGTGTATTTATTTATTTCGAGAGAGAGAGAGAGAGCACGAGTGAGGAAGGGAAAGAGAGAGGGGGAGAGAGAGAATCGAAAACAGGCTTTATGCTGTCGGTGCAGAGCTGGATGCAGGACTCCAACTCAGGAACTGTGAGATCATGACCTCAGCTGAAACCAAGAGTCAAAGGCTTAACCAACTGAGCCACCCAGGTGCTCCTCCTGATAATTTATTGAGGCCATCCCTCACAGAGTGAGAAGAATGACCCCATCAGAGACCTTTTGAATTATCTTTAAAATTCTCCTAGCAGGAATCATCTGTGCCTGGAGTTTCTCTGCTTCCCTCCTCACCTTCACAGGCTCTGGACACCAGGTAAGAGGATATTAAGCACACTATTTGCATGGGGTGGAGTTTATTTGCCCACTTCCTAGAACTTCAGAGCAGGAAACTGAAATTAAGACATCAGGAGTGTGTGGTAGGGTGATTTTCAGCTTTCTACTTGGAACCAGGAAGCCTGCCCCTTCCCAGGCTTCCTGTTCCTCATTTCTTGTTGGAACACGTTGTGAGAGTCCTGTTTAACAGGTTAAGCACTGGGTTTTACTTTTGCACACAATCCCAGGATAATAGTTAAGTCTCCTCTTAGCTGGCTTTTATAAACCTGACTGAGCAGATCTCCAAACTCTCCCTGAATGGTTTGAATGGTTATCATGTTGGTATTGTTGCCCTTACAGCTCTCGCCGTCAGTATCGTCATGGCTGAAGCCTGTGGCTTCTCCTCTGTTTTCATTAGAGTTTCAGTCCTTTATGAAAGTAGCACATGACAGTCCACAAATCACCCTAATGTCCATCTTCTCATCTTAGGTGTACAATGGCCTGAGGAACAGGCACAGAAGGGGTTATTGCTCTCATTTTATAAATAAGAAGCTCAAGGCTCAGAGAGACAGTAATTAGCCAAACCCCCTAAGCCACATGCTGGTAAATGAAGATACCACCCTGGTGCCACAGGTTTCCTTCTTTATGTTTATTTGAGCATTTCTTCATCTTTTTGCCCACTTATTAAAGAAGCTGAACGTCAATAATAACCTGAGGGCAGGTCCCTAAGGTTGATTTGGGATGCCTACTTTTGCAGGTGAATAACCCCCTGACAGATTATGCAATCTGCTGGTTGGAGGTGTTTGACCTCTTTTGTTTTTGTTTGTTTGGGCAAGTAAGACACCTGGGTGATAACAATTGACAATAGAGAAACTGCTCAGCAATCAAGTTTTATTATTTTAAAAAACTGACCTTGCGCTCATAAAACTAAGTTAAACAGCTGTCCAACACACATGAACTTAAGAGAAAAACAGCCTGTCTTATAAAATACATTTCTAATATGAATGTTAACCAGCCATAATCCAAGTAGTACTAATTTCAAATGGAGAAGAGGGAGTAACCCAAACACATTTGAATGACAGAACTCAAAATAAGTTCATTTTGCAGACATAAGGAAGTCCCTGGGATGTTTCTGGGTCATCATCCCATTTCATAGATAATCATACAGAGGGCTTGATTCTACTCAGAGCTAACATGTACTGAGTATCTACTACTACGTATCTCGCACCATAAAGATTTTTGTGTTCCTTAATTCATTGAATGCCATCAGTGGATATTAGAGGTAGGCATTATCATCATCATTTTATACATGAGGAAACAGAAACTTGGCAGAGTTTAGTAACGGATCCAAGGCTCTACAGTTTAGAAGGATGAAGCTGAGATTTGAACTCAGTTCTGTCCAGCTCCAAAGTACATGTTCTTTATAATGTTCTATGTATACTGTCGAGGATTGGTGTGGTGGAGGATCTGAACTTAACCTTAAATTTTGGGGAGAGAATTAAATTTCTTTAGCATTAGCAGTTAGCATAAATGTACTAACCTTTAGGTCTGGCTTTCTGATGGCTCTATTTATGATGTCCTCCTCATCTGTAATGAGAGGGTGGTCAGGAGTGACATCAAACGTGCTGTTTAATGATGACAAGTAGATCCACATTACCTTTTTCCATGAGTAAGTGTGGAATTCATCCTGAGGAAATAGACACCAAAACCCCATGAAGTTGAGAGAAGTCATCAAGCTAAAATTCAACCTGAGAAACATCATTTTCATATAATCCTGTAAGTTTATGGACTTAATAAACATTCTACACAAAGTTGCATGCCCGTGAAAGCTGGTAGATATAAAGCCTTGAAGGAAAAAAAAACCTATGGTCATTTATTGAGGAATCTGGGTGTCAATATGAGGCAATGGCATATATAACAAAACTCAAGAGGAGGGAGGTAAATTCTTAGCAAAGAGCCAATTTCTTGCTATAACCTTCAAATCCATGAGGCCACAGTCAGATGCAAAACTTTACAAACAAACAAGCACTCAAAAGGGTCTGTAGGTCCCTGAGGTTGAGGACACCAGGTCAATTAAACCATCTCAGGGTTTCTAGGCTTAACTTCAATTCTACCTCTTCCAGGAAAGCCCCTGTAATACTGTCTTGCCAGGGGGAGGGAGGGTCTACCACTATACTCACTCCAAAAGATCCTAGCTGCCCCTCTCTTGTGCTCCTAATCACTTTCTGCCATGTATTCTCCTTGTTCGTCTAGGCCATCTGAAAGGTAGGAACCACGTATTATTGTCTCATATATCCCCATCCATTTGGTGAACTGTGACCTGCCCAATGAGAGTGAATGGATGTTTTTACATGCCTGAATGTGTGGATTGAAGGTGCCCAGGGGTAAGTGTCAAAAGGTTAGCACAGGTGGGTTCAAGGCGGCACCTTCCTGCATGACCCTAACTGAAGCCACTTCCTTCACATTCACTGCCGATTTCATCAGAGAATAAAACTAGAGTGAGCAGCACTGGGTTAAGTAACAGGTACCACAATGGTCCCTTAGAGACTGATGTGATAATAACTGTGGTTATTATCTGAATGGGTAAATGCTATGCATAAAAGCCACTAGGACACCTGGTACACCTCAGGAGCGAGGAACAACAGTAAGGGAAGTCAAGCCTGGGAAACAATTTAATGCCTAAAGAATATAGGTCAGAGCTGGGAATTGTCTCCACCACACCCACATTTGCCAAGAAGAGTATCCCAGCTGACGTTGCAAAAGGACAGAAAGGAGAAGATATATTGTTGTTTGGAGCTAATCTCTTACATTGATTCTCCTCCAGAGAAGCCCTCCTCCATGCCTTTGCTCCTTCAGCTTCCTTAGCCTGGAAAACACTTCCTCCTCTACTCTCTTTAAGCTTTCACGGGGCTAGATCCAAAGCATCCTGTAGGACCCAGCTCAAAATTCACATCATGAGAACTGTTCTAATTTCTCTTGGTGATATTTCCCCTAAACTATAAGGTTACTTGAAATTCTTACCACATTCTACCTCATTGCATTCCTCTTTACCTGCCCACCTTATCACTCCTCTTGGACTGTGGGCAGGGACTGTGCTTGATGGGTATCTGTGCTCAGCCAGATCTAACACAGCTTCTGAGAGACAGACAGAGACTGAGACAGAGGAAAACAGAGAGGTAGGGTGGAGGAGCAAGAGGGGAAAGCAAGGCAAAGGATGCGGGGAATAAAGGGGGGTAAGATAAGGGAAGAGAAGGAAAGGAAAGAAGAAGGGAGGGGAGAGGAGAAGAAAAGGAGGGGAAAAAACAATAGAAATTTGAAGTTAATTCTAAAAATCAGTAAACTTGACTATTACCCTCATTTAAAAAAAAAAGTCAAATTAAACCAGATTTGCATAGAGTTACCTTCAGAGCCCAAAAATGACTCAATTTCTAACGACTGAGCCACTGAACTTGGGCATGTTCTAGGTATTGTGAGATAGGCAACAACTCCATAGGACACACCTTGACATTGACATAGTTCACCATTATATGGCTACACCTTTGACCACTTATGATGTTGTTATGAGTGAGTTTCCTCTGAATATCAGATAATAATGAAAATAGTTAACATTTATTTAACACTTATGTTCCAGGCACTCTATCAGTGAGGCTCAGACGAGGCCAGTCTGGTATGAGTAGCAAGGCAAGAAGCGGGACCTGAAGCCAGGTCTTCCCACTCTAAATCTTGGCTCCTTCCTCTTTGTTTCCACAAGTTGTCCATGGTTTCTGTGGCTTATGTATGAAAATTACCTTGAATTCTATACCATATAACAAATAGCATCCAGTTTCTCACAATCTCTGCTCTCTTGGCAGCAGAGAATCCGATTCCTAAAACCAAGCTGTCACTCTTTGGCCCTGTGTGACAGCAAACAGACCTCTAGACTATAATGCCTAAAAAGGGAACGGCAAAGTGGAACACTAGAACTCCCAAGCTCTTTGAGGCCCGTGGTGATCCAATGCGCAAACTGTATGCCTTAGACTGGTAAAGCATGAGACCAAAATTCATCTACAGGCCTCCATCTTATTATATAGCCTGTACCATAATTAAATCAAAGGTGTTTAGGTATCTGTGCCTTTAAGTTTATTTCTTACCCCCAAGCCCTATAACCCACAATTCTATATAATGCAAAGTACAGTTCAATAGGTTAAGGAAGGATACTTTAGTGAGACCACCATTTTTCTTACAGTAAGGCAATAATATTGACTTTTCTCTTGCTTATTACTATGTTAAAGACTGTAAAATCATTCATATTTTTTAAAGAAATCTACCCAACTTTTTAAGAAAAAAAAAGGCAAAGAAATGGAGGGAAAAGTGTGTCAGGGTGAGGTGGTCACTCCAGTCAACATCATCCACGTCCCCTAGTTTTCAGTTTGGTGTTACCCAGAAACAAAAGAACACAGGCTCCTTCCTGAGCCTCAGTTGTGAACCATCTTGAAAATCATGGCAACTCTCTGAGCCGAGTTTTTCTGCATCTGGCCAGTGGGGATGAGAATACCACATTTCATGGATGCTTGGAGGATTAAACGCAATAATACATAATGCATCTGGTCCAAGGGCTGGCCAGTAGCTGAGTGTAACAAATGCTCCTTGGCCTATGGCTCTGGGCCTCATTTTCTGCAGCATGTTGCTTCTGAGCTCTTTCTGTAAATAGGAACTTAATTTTCCCTTGGAGGAATTGTTGAGAGTCTCTGAGAGTCTTCCAATTTATTTTTCCTTCTTTTTTTTTTTTATTTTTTTTTAATTTTTTTTTTTCAACGTTTATTTTATTTTTTTGGGGACAGAGAGAGACGGAGCATGAACTCCGGAGCCCCAGAGCCTGACGCGGGGCTCGAACTCACGGACCGCGAGATCATGACCTGGCTGAAGTCGGACGCTTAACCGACTGCGCCACCCAGGCGCCCCAAAAATGTTTCTTTTTTAGAAGGAAAAATAGGGGCGCCTGGGGCTCTGGGCTGATGGCTCGGAGCCTGGAACCTGTTTCCGATTCTGTGTCTCCCTCTCTCTCTGCCCCTCCCCCGTTCATGCTCCGTCTCTCTCTGTCCCCAAAAAAATAAAATAAACGTTGAAAAAAAAATTAAAAAAAAATAAAAAAGAAACATTTTTGCCTGGAAATGGCTATTTCCTCTTTACCTCTGTTTCCCAGCTCTCTCAAGTAGGTAAAGATCCTTAAGAGACTTAACTGCACCTGAGGAGCCAAACACTTTAAATAACTGCTTTGTAATGCAAATAATCCAAACTATTTGCCTCGCCAATCTAGACTTTTAACACTTCAAGTCTCATTGAGGGGGCTTTACCTTCTCTTTATCAAAAGAGAATTAATCAGCTGAATTCTAAGAGCAGAATTTAAAATAATTCAAGAGCGCATTTCAAAGAACTGAATGTAACAGATGACCTCAGTTTGCCCTGGAAAGAAAGGTACAGGGAGGAAAACCGGGCATTTTTGATTTCCTGTGGCCTTGCCCTTTCTGAACTTTGAAATGCCAGGCTAACTTTTCTAGTTGCACCAAGTGAGTGGCCTTGCTTATCTTCTTACAACCTTTTGTTATAAGCATCTTACCTGTTGGAATTTTAAAGTAGTGTAATGGTCACTTTAAGTTCACACCAACGCTGTGACTCACCTCCTTGTGCAGGAGTTTGCTACCCAAAATGTACTCCTGAGATTGCCTTAAGAATTTCTTCTTAAGTAACCCATTGCAAAGTTCCAAAAAGACACCAGCACTCCAGTACTTTTCACTTGGAGATGGATACATTGCAACGCTAAAGAGCATGAACTCTCTCACTAAGGTGAAGTGCTTAGAGGATTATGGATAGATAAAGCAGTAATAACATTTCTCAAGTTATTTCTAAAACACCATGCTGCCTTTGCAGACCCATGACTTGGGCAAAATACTGTTCTTTTTATATTTAAGTGGTCCTTTTTTCTTTCCTTTTTCCTCTGTTGGCCAGACCCACTGATACTCTTGACACCTTGACCTCATATTCCCAAAGTGGCTTAGCTGGAAAAAGTTGACATTGGTTAGAATGTAGGATTTAGTTATAAAACAGAGAAAGAAAGTTCTAAGCATTGGAAAAAATCTTACACAAAATTATTGTCTCAGTACTCCTGGAACATGTTCACCAAAAAAGGGGATGAGGTGGGGGGGGGGGGGGGGGGGTGTGGACAAAGCAGGGAAGTTATATGACACAGCAAAGGCTGTGTCTATATCTGTGTCAATATCCTGAACAATTCAGCATACATTTTTGGAAAGACTGAGTGCTTTGTTTTTACGATCATTTTCTCAGGGAAGAGGGAGTAGTGAGTTACCTGGCTCATCATCTGAAATATCTGGAGATGCAGCGTGTAGCAGAAAGTAACAAAAAGTTAAAGTTGGTTTTAAAAAGTGTGTAGTAACCAATGTCCAGGAAATGACTCCATGCCAGGCACAGATTCATCAAGGCACTTTACATGTATTTCTCATTGATTTCTCATGGTAATGAGGCAGATACTATTGTTAGCCACTCTTAACATATGAGGAAGAGGAAGTGGAGGCAGAGTAGAGGGTAAGTAACTCGCCCAATATGGACTGATTCCATATGTTGAAGCCCTAGCTCTCCCCGCCCCCCCCCCGCCATGTGACTGCATTTGGAGATAGGGCTTTTAGGAAGTAA